ACAGCCGTCTAGAGTGCTGACGGAATAACTTTTCCCTTCGGGTTTGCCAACCTTGGAACGCACTCCCAGACTCAGTTGTATCCTCAACTACATTGAATGTTTTCAAAAACGATTAGATGTCGCTCATAGCTCCCAGCATTTTGCTACCTAAACTCCTCCAATGTGGACTACACTAAGCACGCTTTTCAACTGGATTTATGTATCAAATGGAACCAAGTGAGCGACCATATTTTACTATTCTCATGTCTTATATCAACGATCGATGCACCACAGTGTATTTCTGAACGTTTACGCCCAATCTTTTTTAACTTTACACCGATGTAATTTATCGAAGTATTCATCTCTGAAGACGTTCGGTAGATGACCCAGATATATTTTGCTTTCCTCATATTCACCCCAACAATCCGACGGGAAGCGTCAAGCGCTTGCGTTTATCCCGTGATAAATCATTGTTCTTTGTTCACTTAATATCCAAATCTTTGTCGTAAAGCTTGTCTCAGTCTGTCTGCGTTAACATAGTCTGCAACTCCGAGCTCACCCGATTTGCTTGGACACGGACTTTACCCAAGCGTCTAGTTGTCAGCTATATTCCTCGCTTCGTGAATGGCTTACTCGCGTAGGAAACTACTTTAGAAGAAGTATAAGTGTTGTCAGGTTGCTTGACTATACGATTCTTGGGTATGGTGTTGATTTTAAAGCAACTGAAGTTGTAAACTCGAAGATTCTCCCAAATGGCTTTAAGGCCGGTCAATCGAACGAATAAACTTGTGAATTTTCAAAAGTGAAGTGGATAAATGCAATCAAGATCTTGCAAAATACTTGGAACTGATGTAGAACTAATGATTTCCGAAAAGATAAAAAAATACCGTTTGGTATATCTTGGGGGCAAGGTGTCGTTACGACACAAAAGCTTTACCAGGCAGAGTGAACCAATAGATGATTGCTCTAGCACTTTTAACGAACTGGATTGATAATCTCGACGAATGGGATGTAGGCGGATGGTCAATTGTGTTACATTTCAACGTATCCCTCTACATATTGTTAGGAACGGTCACAAGTGGTCGGCGTCACAGGTTCACACACCTACGCTCTTTTAACCATGGGTACTACGGTGATGTGGAGGTCGATTCCTTTCGCTAAATGTGCTAGACAAATCATCAATTGGTTCACTCGGCCTGGCAAAGATTTTCGTGTCAAAAAAGAAACGCTGCCAACATACTATGCCAATCAGTTGTTTTCAAACCTTTCTTATATCGTGAGTTTTCGATTATTTCCAAGAAGTCAAGTACCTAAATGGGATTCCCATTTGCAAATTCACAGGTTTATTCGTTCGATTGGCCGGCCTTGAAGCACATTTGGAGGTTCTTCGAGTTTACAACTTCAGTTGCTTTAAAACCAACACCATACCCAAGAATCGTATCGTCAAACAACCTGACAACACTTATACTTCCGCTGCAATAGTTTCCTACGCGAGTAAGCCATTCACGAAGCAAGGAACATAGCTGGCAACTAGACGCTTGGGCAAAGTCCGTGTCCATGCAAATCGACTGAGCTCGGAGTTGCAGACTATGTTAACGCATACAGACTGAGACAAGCTTTACAACAAAGCTTCGGATATTAAGTACATGTAAGGGAAGACCACAAACGGAAGACAAATCCGTAAGTTCCACCATTTGATGTCCTTACGTAGCAAGGTCACCGGTCCAAATAGCAGGCCTTTATCTAGCAGCAGATATTGTACCGTAGTTAATAATTCCGATAGTTTGTTGAATGAGACGGAGTGTAGAATATTGGAGAAGGATTTGACATGTATTATCATCAAATCCAAGATAAGAGCCGAAGAAATCATTCATAGTGTTGAGACTGCTTTAGCAAAATTACCTGCTTTGACGGCTCAGCTTATTCGTGCAGAGCTTGTACACATTATAAAAGTTCGGCGACCGAGGAAGCCGAATCTTGCACCAGAGGAACATGTCGCATTAATTGTCCTAGAAGAAGATCCGAACATCGTTATCACGGAAGCCGATAAGAGCAATACGACGGTGATAATGAACTAGTCAGTGTTTGGAAAATATGGTGGAGCACATAGTGATGGGAACATATGAGATAATCGACAATAACTGATTCATGTCAGTGATGAATAAGAATAAGTCAGAGGTTGGTAATTACTTGAAGAACGTAAAGGAGCATTTAGGACGGGGAAAATAGTACAACAAATATCTCAGATCATCTCTTCCACCAGGAGCGTAGGGCTTACCGAAGATGCATAAGCCCGATGTACCCATTCGACCAATTGCAGATGGCATAGGTTCCCAGACGCATGAACTAGCTAGACAATTGGCTAGCATATTGCAACCCTTGACAGAGCAAAGTAATACGTTCGTACAGAGCTTTTATGATTGTGAGAAACTCGTCGGGTCTTGAGATTGTGTCTGATGAAATGGTGGTCAGTTTCGACGTTAGCTCGCTTTTTACCAACGTGCAAACGACGCTTTGGAGATAGGGAAACATCGTCTAACTGGGGACAGTAACATGAGAGAGGACGAAGCGTATGGTAGATGAAATAGCAAAAGGAATGGCACTGCGCCTTAACATGTCCTAGTTCACGTTCCAATCTAGCATATACACTCAGGAGCAGGGACTTACCATGCGATCGCAGTTATCCCCTGTATTGACAAATTTGTACATGGAAGACTTTAAAAGCAGGGCGCTGACTGACTCCTATAGCTCCCTGAAAATTTGCTGGCGCTACGTGAATGACACATTGCTATCATAAAACGGAATAAGAAAGACGAGTTTCTAAACCGCTTGCACACTTGCGGTGACAATATATTTCACTATGAAATTTGAATCTGGCAGTGGAATATTGCCATTCCTTGACTGTTTAGTTCACAGGAATAGTGGTAGCCTAAAAATAACGGTATATCGTAAGCCGACGGACACAGATGGTGTACTCCACTGTAGTTCAGGTCATCCACAACATGGGTATGCTGGAATCGCCTCATCGATGTTTCACAGAGCCCAAACATTGTGCACAGAGGAAGAAGTTAGGAAGGTCGCCCGGAAAGATGCAATGAACCAATTGTTTGGTAATGCATAGCCGAGGCGGTTAATGAAACGCCAGTTGCAGCGAAGTTTAAATCCTCACCCACAGCGTACTACGGAGTGGGTTGGGACGGTATGTAATGCTTATGAAAAAGAAACTTCGGAGGCCATCTGGAGGGTCTTAAATAAAGATAACATAAGGGTAATTGTCCAGAAACGCCAAACGCTACGCTCTACACAAATGCACTTAAAAGACTCACTTCCCGCAGATAGGACAACCGCTTGCGTCTAAAAATTAGTTGCAAAGACTGCGCACGCGTGTATATTGGCGAAATCTTGAGGATGTTACACACAGGAATAGCAGAACACAAGACGTATAGCACGGCCACTGAGAAACGAGCTTGAATGTATAGCTATACTAAGGAGCTCGGCAGTAGCGATGCACGCGCTAGATACAGGGCATGAGATCGAGTTGGCAAACGGCAAAGTCGTTAGAAACGGGTTGTGATCAACTTCCCAGTGGCTGGCTGCTGAAACGGTTGGGATAAGCAAAGTGAACAGCTTCGTGAACAGCGTGGACGGGGCAAAGCTCTCGAGCCTGTGGCGAGCTGTGTTAATCCGACCAGTCTGAGGAGCTCAGACGGATGTATCCAGAGCATAGAATGAACACCACATCATTCCCGCACGTGTGTGACGTTGTGTCGTGGACCACTTGTGACCGTTTCAAGCATTACTTGCAGGAATGCGTTGACCTGTAACGCGATTGACCATCTGGCTACATCCCATTTGTCGAGTTTATCAGTCCACTTCGTTAAAATGCTAGACTAATCATCGACTGGTTTACTGCCTGGCGATGCTTTTGTGTCCAATATAAAACGTTGCCTTCAATCTCTACCAATCGATTACTTTCCTGCTTTCGGAATTCATGTGTTTTTGATCAGTTTATATATATTTTCCCAGGTGGTGTTTTTTGTTTTTTCCTTTAGATATTCTCTTTTGCATTTTGAGATTTTCGTGCGATCTCTTGCTCTGCTATCTTGCTTCCCTTTTAAGTTTTATTGTGGAGGTTATACGTAATGCGGCAGGGCACTTATATCTCTCTAAATACTTGGAGCCTTGGTTATATTTGTGAGAGTTGGGAGTTCTCCAATCTTTAATTCTGATTGCATAATGTTTAATTTTGCTTGTATTTTGGCAGGGAACGTGTGTATACGCTCTGGGATCCCTGTTCCCATGCCATTTTCCGTTGATGCTCCGCATTCTGACATAACAAATTCATTGTAGTTTTGACCACAACAACTCTACCCTGCTTCTTTCATTACACTGGCAACCCGCGACACTCAGGGCGAGTTATATTAACTTGAAATTGTTTAGCATGAATCTACCCTCTTCGCCCTCTGTCAATGGAGAATCCGGCTGTAAACTGTCTCGGGCTAACCATGTAATAGCCCACCAGATTTTACATTTGGTTGACTTCCCTTGCCAAGGACGCTAATTCACATGCGCACACAAAGCAGTAACTGTAGGCACGGGCCCAATGTTTTAGCCCCGGATTTGAAGTAAACGGTTTGCCTTCAATGTTGCCGGCATCTAGTGAAGGATTTCTAGAACATGTTATAATAGTTGAGGCAAGATAAACGTCGAAATACAAAAAATTCCTATGCACCATACTTTTTAACTGTAGATTTAAAAAACGTATCACACATGACCATGTCATTCTATAGCTGTTATATGATGAGTAGTTTCGGAAATTAACACTGTGCCTTGTGTGTGTGGTCAATTTTTGGTGGAGCAATGCAGATTTATATATTCTAAGTCTCTATTTCATACATTGGGTCTTCAATATTCCCCTATCGCTATGGTATACGGAAACTAAATATGAATTTAAATGTGCAGCTTTAAACTGTATCACATCATTAGTTTACCATCTTGTATATATTTGTCTCTGTCTCCAGTTTTTGCAACAACTGTCAACTCAGGACTCCCATGCTCGCAACACATCACGCCCGGATGAGACACATCGGGAAGCGGAACGCTTAAAAGAGCTTCGAAATCTGCTTCAACCTTATCAAGAGGTAGAACGATTGACACGTGCTGGTCATCAAAAGGAAGCGATTAAGAAATTAATGGAACTTCAAATTTTTGAGCGCAACTTTCTTTCCATTGTGATTTCGAGACCGAATTTTGATCTTGAAAGAGTTGAAGAGAAGGCGGTGGTCTCACTCACTTCGCTATTTAGCCAAATTGGTGGCTTGCTCAGCATATGGATCGGTCTGACTTTCGTTTGCATTGTGGAACTGGTCGAACTAGGAATAAATGTTGCGGACACCATTTGGAATTATCGCCAACGAAAGCTGCCTGAAACGGCACACTAGAGAAAAACGCCAGTGTTGGTCTTCACTTGGCAATGTTCGATCTTTAACTATGCCGATGCGTGTGATTCAGATGCCCTTACTAACCTGTGTCCTTCAACTTTTGTTTTTGTACAAATCGATTTCTCTTTAAACAAACAATAAGTGGTACATTTTATCAATGACAGAATCGCCTGGGAAGTTGACTCGAATTGAAAGATTTTGTCTCGTATCAAACTCGACATGTTTCCAAAAATATTCATTTCTATTAATGGTCAACTGGGTAAAATGCGTTCAGATAACAGATTTTCTACATCTACTGAAATGATTGGCATCGAGCGAAGTAAATTAACTAAGATAACAGGGGTCCTCAACATATTTTTGCATAAATGTAAGAATAATGGATAGAACATTTTGGCAGAGATGTCCTAATTACTAGTAAGCTGTGAATTAAATTTCATTTCTCATTGTCACAAGGTAGGTTTGAAAACACTGCCAGGGTTCCATAACACAGCATTCCTTTAACTGTGAAATAAGGGATTTTGTATCGCACTTACATGGCTCCAAGCTGGGCTAATTCACGAAATGTGGCGCTATTAATGTGACATTTGTGAAGTAAATGGGTTACTGGTTGTTTGAAAGTAGTAGTGAGCACAGATATATTGGTAGTTCCTGCCGCTTAGCATTGTTGAGCGGCTTCAGTTTGATCCATATACCGACAGACACTTGTCAATCGTTACTGTAATTTTCGGAACCAAATATTTCACGCTGAACAGGATCTAAACAGGTCAAACGTATGATTTTCTTGATGCAATTTGTCAGATATCGTTCTAACACAAAGGAAACTTGTAGAGTAGTGAAGCGTGGAATTCCATTTCAGGTAGCTAGTATTGCCCACCCTTAACAACATGTTGAAGGGCCCGCCTCGTTCCTTCTTTCATTCGTGAGTGGAAGCTAGCGGAAATGTAACTACAACCCATGACGTTTGGGGAGCCAGTTTGTCGGTTTCAGTCACGACCTCGGTGAGCGAATCGACTGAGATTCACCTTAAACAGTCCCTGTTTAGACAGAAATTCCGTGTCATTCTATATGCACAACCCCATAGGTTTAGACCAATCCACCACAAAGGTGAGTTTCGGTTCTATCCGTTAAATCATGCACTTAACCGTCCGTTTTGCGTTCTAATTTGAAAGATCGCTGTTAGACTTCGGGTGTGAACCTTACGCATGAGTTCCTACGAAAGTTTAATTATGAACCTTGCTAACTGGTTGACAAAACCGGAGAAGTTGGTGAGAGCCGACTCACATTTGTAATCAGGATAAGTTATATATCTATAACTTGTGTGGATATTCACAGTTTCCCTGTCGTAATCTAAATACAAAACTGACTGCAATTGTGTATGTGTCAAGTTATCGTTTGTTATAGCTAGTTGGCTTCTTACAGCAATCGTATCACAATGTGCGCTAGTACATGACCAAATATAATCTCGTGTTTGATTCCGAGATATACACGCACTGATGTTTTAGCAACTGCTAACTTCGTATGCAGAAATTACCAGCCAAACACACGGTGATGCGTAAGTCCCATAGGGTGGAATATATCATTGCATATCCGATGCGGCCAAATAGTATTGCTATATTGCCAGACCAAACGCTTTAGACAAGCTGCCGTTGAGCTCAACGCAACCTGACACATGGACAGGCGTTTCGATGTTTAGGCAGGCATTAGAAGCTCCGCATCCTGGAGACAATTGGCATTTAGTTTATGTGGACCTGTTTAATTTGAAATGTTCTTAACGGTTTCCACAGAGAAGTGAAGTCGGATTACCTTACTTGATTCATTAAGCAAGACTGGTTCCTAGCTCTGTACGATGAATGCTTCGTATTGAAAAACAGACATTCATATATTTCGCATATGATTCATCATATTTTTGGCGTATATTCGCCGGATTACTTTCACCGTCAACCGTATCAGTGCTCTAAAGCAACACAGATGGTGATACACAACTAACTAAATAACGTCTCCTTGAATGGCTATGCATAGATGTCGACCGCTCTGGTCGAGCTTTAGGCCTTTTCAAGCAGGATTCATACCGGCCAACTGGGACTGCGATGCACTGCGGGGCAACTGAGGTGACATAAAATAAACTGTGTTAGTGTTACCGAGCTGAGTCATTTTTGTCAGCATTCTAAGTGATGTTTACAGCATGGCCGGCTTCAAGGTAGCATATTTCATATGATTTGGAGAGTTGTGTTCAATCCATACACACTAACAATTACGTACGTAGTAGGTGCTTATTCAGAATTCTACCGCCAGTTGAACTGCATGAGGTAAGAAGAACTAGCCGTAACGGCTCATAATAAAACAACGTTGGAAACACATAAACCAAGAAATTTTCAGTTTCCGTTGCGAACTTCATCACGAGGTTGGCATGGAAAATCTATCACAAAGGACGTAGGACACCGAGGAAAATTTGAAATTCGATTACGCGAATATGCGCGCCCAAACGTATGATGTTTGTGAAGGTCAGCTTTATCACTGGAATAAAAAAGATTTACTGCATTGGAAGGCGGAAATATCAGCGTGCAGCGGACCGCGTCCGTGAAGGGCAAAGGGATTAGATGTGTCTTTGGGAGTAGTGGGAGTCAATAGGCTAACAGACTAAGTCGAAAAGTAATATTCTGAAGCAAACATATTTAAGTGGAGGGTAGGCCGAGATAAAACCAACCTGAACTAAATGTGGTGCAAGTTAAAACTGTCCCTCCTCGTCTGCATCATGACAGCTTGGCTTCATGGATTTTGAGTTTCACAAAGACGTACCGTTTCCGATGAGTATGTGGAGTCCTATTAGACTGCACGAAATAGGGAAATTTCCGCTAAAACAGATACACATGACAACTCTGTCTCGGTTATTTACGCACATGACAGGGATGAGGTCAGATGATCAGCCAGCGGAAGAAAGCCATTTATAAAATCGACCAGCGAGATACAAATGTACCGATGTTTGTGTAACATAACCCGTATACTTTTGATTCAATATCTATATAGAAAAGGCATCAGCGGTACGCCAGTATGCAGTACCGATGCTTCGCTGTCGGGCAACCACCACCAGTTGCACGTGGGCGAAGGATGCTGCAAGGGTAGCACTACCCTACGCAGGTTCGAACCCGCGCCGTCAGCTTACAAGGCAAGCTTGTTACCATTAGAATACGGATCGGATCAATGTGAAGATAACTCATTCGAAATCAGCGCAGCTTTAAAGCATGGCAAAAAGCCGATTATTTTCTGCTCGGTACTAATGAGAGCTGAATGCCGTAACAACTATATCGCCAAGATGTGCATGCACTTAGGCGGTAGAATATAATAATTCATACCAAAAGGCCATTGTTCATGCTGATCGCAGGCCGTTGATATTCATGTCCAGAAAACATGTACCTCATTCCAAGCTGGTTAAAAAGACATAACTGACCACAATGAAGTAATACCCATATGTTTCTTATGTAATTGCGGTGTAAGGTGCGCATTGCAGACGCGCTTTCAGAGACAGCTTTTGGATGCATGGACGAATGTACGACGATGAAAACGTTTTCCTAAAGCGCAACAAATTGAAGTCGATGATGACGGAATGCAACACATATGGCGGTGCAGGATTTTGTTTATTAGCTTGCCTATATTTTTCCCGCGCTGAATGAGAAGATTTCGACGCGGAGTAATGATCAGCTTTCGGCTTCCGTTTTTACTTTCGTCTTAAAATAATAATACATGCATTTCGCATCAGTTGAGAGACCGCACTTGGATCTGAAATTTGTCCTCATAAATGGGATTGGTGATGTCGTCCAGCCTGAAGCTGAATCGTCTGCATCCAAAGCACCCAGCTCGAATACCCGAATACACTCATTCGCATACCGAGCAAAGAATACAAATTTCCAATGCTGCAATCATATTTGAAGCAGAACGTATCCTTACAGATGGAACTGGGTTTTACTACAGGTTAAATATGGAAGAAATTTTAATTGGAATAGTATGAATGTGCTCAAAATGTAACGCACATATGTGAAGAGAAAGAGTAATGGTATAAAAAACTACAGATGTGAGTGTGTTGGTGCCATGTGAAGTAAAATAGCAAGTTGTTATAATTAATGTTTATAGCAAATGACGAACAGGTTACCCAGCGTTCCGTGCTTTACTGCGGGTTATAATTCCGAAAAATTGGCTAGGTCGCATATATCCAGAATGTCGGTTCTTGTAACACAATGTAGATAGCTCGGAACGATATATATTCGTTTTTACGAATAGCTAAAGTTGGTGTACAAACAACTGAGTTTTAGATCTTTCCAAGTTTGGCAGACTAGGAGGGTGATGTGATTTCGTCGACAATTTAGACGACCGTATTTTTACTCAGTTTCAAGCCATTGCGTCCGAGGTTGATTCTCGGACCAAGTTTCAAATTGAGACGGCATACGTGAATAAGGTCCTTAGTGATTTTTGTACTAATATGACGTCTCCATGTAACCGGTAATCTCCATTAGACACTCCAAGTGTCTGCAGTCATTCCTGATACGGTGGGTTGCGGGAACCATTAATATGTTTCTTTACTTTACTTTAGTGGTCTCCAGCGCATCGGAGTTACGTTTTTAACCCAGATTCTTAAACCTGGATAACCGTTCGACGTGTGTACGCATGTAGGCATTTTGCAGGATATCGACATGGCGGTTGCATATTCGAAGTGGATTCGAACGGTCTGGAACAGCGGAGGTAGTCCTGTATCACCGCACCAAAATCATCTTCATGAGTGGGGCTATCCAGATTGTGAAATCCAAACCCGTAGATGTAGGTGTATCAATGGCAGACGCGAAAAACGCTGCACTTGTCGATGCTGTATGGTAGCGCTGTCCTCACTGACCAATTCCAGTCATCATTGCGGAAGCGCTTGTGGAACTCGCAGTTGTCCATTCTCTTGGCCACCTGCCAAAACTTAAGGTTGTCCACGAAGAGTGAACATTTTGTGGTGACGACTCTCAGCAGACAGTTACTGATAACTAAAAACAGGCGATGCCAAAGAACCGAATCCCGCGGTACGCCCCACATAACCCGAATTGGCTCAGGCAGAGACCTTAGGATTCTAATCATCAACTGCCTTTAGATATTTATTGATCCAATCCTAGTATTGAATCTCCAGTGTCATATTGTGGATT